CTTCAGTCTGATCCAGTGTGGCCATTCTTATGTTCTCCCATTGTTTGGTGCAGAGACTTAAAAATGTGAGCAGGGCAGATATATGTGGGGTATTTATTTCCAAGAATGTGGCTTTTGCTGTCCCTATGAAAAAGGGCTCAAATTTGACCAACTAATAATCACTTGAAAAGTGGATGTTTACACATGATCAGCAGAGATTTCTTTCTAACTGTAACAGCGCTTTAATGTAAACTGTCATTTCTTTTTCTCCACTTGCTGGTTAGAATAACAGAAGTAGGACAGCTAAGTCTCAGTTCAAATAAGCATATGCTTAACTTTAAGCACAGGCTTAAGTGTTTTGCTGGGTCACAGTCTCAATTTAGCACCACTGACCACAAATTCATCAAAAGAAGTGACCCTCAAGTTTCTACTTTATGTGGCTGAGTCCTTCACTCTCATCCCAACCACTTAATGCTCTGTGTTCCCCATTGATTATACACATCTACTATCCAATTAACATTTTAACCAAACATTTCCAGTGGCTTTCAGCTTTGGCTCTCTGTATGTAAATCATTAACCCTCTAAGATTACAGCTGTATCATAAAATTCAGGACAAGTTATTTAACTCTTTTTATGTCTCAATATGATCATCTGTAAAATAGGAATAATAAATCTTAACTCCATTTGTAAAGTGTTTGCAGATCCATAAAAGAAAGATACAGAGTATCTGAAAGGAATCGTGCAATTTGGGATTCTAATCCTTTCCAATAAGGCTGTTTTGGCAGATCATGTTCTTCCCACACAGTGTCCTTCCCTTACCCCAGGGAGTTAGAGCACACCCTGTTGCTGCAAAGCCAACCTCTAAATGTGTTTGGTCACCCTCTGGGCTCATTGCCAAACTCCCAATTAAGTATGTGCCAATTTTCTAAATGCAAAAAAAAAAAAAATGCCTTCAGAGTTAGTATTTCCAAGGGAGTTAACCTCTGATGGTTTCCAGCACACAATTAGAACTCAATTCTATAACAGTCATAATCTCATTTTCATTAATTTCACTCTCAGTTGTTCAGTATCAATATAAATGCTTAAGATACTATCACAAACTTCATAGCAGGTGGATAATTCCTTCATTCACAATACTTTTAATTTTTTAAAATAAATAAAAATATTTAGAAATAGACATTGTTCTTGTACATTCCCTATGTTTCCAAATTAAGTATCTTTTTTAAAAATAACAAAGGCACCAATTTGCAATAGGTACTAAGATCTTTATTTTCAATACCCTAAAATGGGGACTTTGGCCATTAAGGTTAAAGCTAAAAAACACATGCTTCACTTCAAAAATCTATTCTTATGTGTTTGAAAAATGTCAGTCTTTGAAAAGTGTGAGAGGGGCAGGAGATTTGTATTAACACTACCTTGATTATACTCTTTAACCATACAAGACTCAAATTGACCAAAAATCCTAAATTATTATTTAGTAGCTTCGGGGGGTAGCCGAGTTAGTCTGTACAGGTAAACTGAAAAAACAACAAATAGTCTGGTAGCACTTTATAGACTAACAAAACATGTAGAAGGTACCAGATGAAGAAGGGTCATCTGAAGAAGTGGGCTGTGCCCACGAAAGCTCATGATACCATCTACATGCTTTGTTAGTCTATAAAGTGCTACCAGACTATTTGTTGTTTTATTATTTAGTGACAGGTTAAATATTGTTTTTTTTATGGCTTACCAAGTCCATTATACATCGCCTTCTCTGTAGATTGGCACTCTGCATTTGAAAGAATTAGGAAATTTCTAAAGAAAATTTAGAAAAGTGTGTGAAAGAGGAACTGACAAATGTATCAGGAAATGTATCAGGAAGGCAGCTCCTTAGCTTGAGGCCAGTTCCCAGGAAACTGGTTTGAATGTTGTTTCCTGATGAGTACAGAATGAATAATTAAAAATTTGCCTGCAAATGAAGCTTCTATTGTGGCATCTAAGGGTGCATCTACACAGCACCATAACTCAAAATAAGATATGCAATTTGAGATATACAAACTGCATATCTTATTTCAATGCTATTTTGAAATAGTTTTTTTCATCATTCGGTGCTGTCTACACAGTGCCAAATTTCAAACTAAAGCTCTATTCTGAAATTTCCCTTACTCCTCATAGAAAAAGGTTTACAAGAATGTCAGAATAGTGAGCATGAAAATAACAGGCTTGCTGTGAAGACACGGGATAGCTATCTTGGGATACTCCGAAATCCCAAAAAAGCATTGCAGTGTAGACGTACCCAAAATGTCATGTACACCCACTTTTATGATCACCACTCTAAAAAACTTAGTTCCACTACTCTTACATTCCTAGTTCTGTTCTTTTCCACTCATGCCGAAGATTCTTCTCCCAGTATAAATCCATCATATGTTCTCTAATAAGAAAAAGCAAGACTGAAAGCGGGAACATTCAGAATGAAATTTCTTCACCCACTCCAAAATGCGCTCACAAAAGGAGAGACCTCAATCAACTTAATCTTTCTCCCATACTGAGAGTCTAGAAAGACATTCTGCCTCTTTCCTTTCCTTTGTAGGCATTAAAATCTCCAAGGACAGTGGAAACTGTATGGTTAGATTAGGTGGGTAGGGTCGCCAGGTGTCCGGTATTTGGACTTTGTGTCCAGTAAACAAATTGAGAAAATACTGGACATATAAATGTCTGGTGTTTTCTAATTACGTTTTTCTGCTTTTCCTGGGCCCAGCTCAGCGCCTGACAGAAGCCTGCTCGCTTGGAACATGAGGCAATTAAAGGGGCCACGGCCGCATTTCGGGCTGACCTCCTGAATCCCCTTTCTCCCCCGCCCCCAGGTCACTCCTGGGGGTTTTTGTTTCTCAACAAATTTTTATCAAATATTTGTCCAGGATTTATTTTAAACCATCTGGCAACCCTATAGAGGTGAGAAGCAAAGTATGGAAATGCTGGGCAGATGGATTTTACATATCCCACATTCCACAAAATATTATTCCATGTTTATAAGTCTCAGAGGGTTGCTGTGTTAGTCTGTAACTTTAAAAACAACTTTTCAATAACAAAACTTTTCACAAACATGCCTGGGCACTCATTAATGGATCTCAAAAGTCACCATATTGTTTCAGGCCAATTCCACAAGCCAAATCCACAGGGAAACCTTAGAACTTAACTTCATTTACAAGTTTGATTCCAAACAGAGGTATGAATAAAGATATTGGCTGGATGGCCCACTACATTCCACTTCCTAATGATATAAAACCAAACAATGGGTACTTAACAATTAGTACCTACTCTATCAACTTGATGTAGCATGGTCACTCTTATTGACTATTTCTTTCTCCTTTTTTCTATTTTTTTCCCTTCTCCCCCACTTTCCCTATGTATTTAGAAACTGGAACTTTAATAACTGCATTCCTCTGAAGAAGTGGGTTGAGCCCACGAAAGTTCATGATGCCATCTACATGTTTTGTTAGACTCTAAGGTGCTGCAAGACTATTGATTGTTTTTTAAGTTTTTCCAGTTACAGACTAACTTGGCTACCCCCTGAAGTTTTCAAAAACAAGAAGTCCTGTGGCACCTTAGGGTATGTCTACACTACAGCCAACCGCTATTTTGAAATTAAATCAAAATAGTGGAGGGCTTATTTCAAACTTGGTTAACCTCATTCCACGAGGAATAGCACCTATTTCGAAATTGCTATTTTGAAATAAGTGCTGTGTAGACGTGGAATAGGGGCTATTTCGAAATAGGGGGCCTCCAGCCCTTCCCAGGGTGCCTTGCTGGCCACTCTGGCCCCAACCAGGAAAGCTCCTCTCCTCCCCCACTCCCCGGAGCCCTTAAAGGGGTAGAGTCTAGCCACAGTGCCTGTGCCAGCTCCACGCTTGCCAGCCCAGAGCCAGTACTCGCTGCCCCTGACCCAGTGGCCCCAACATGAGCCAGCAAGCCACTGCCACCCAGCCCTCCACTGCTCTCTAGGACCAGTCTGCCAGCTCCCAGGAGTCTACCAGGGGCCGGAAAAGGTGGGCTCCTTCCTGGTCCAGTGCGGAGATCAGGGTCCTCATGGAGGTTTGGGGGAATGCCTCCAACGTCCATGATCTTCACACTAGATGGAGGAAGGTGGCTGTCTACATCTGGATGGCTGCCAGCCTGGCCACCAAAGGCCACATCCGAACCCAGGAGCAGGTTCGAATGAAAATTAAGGAGCTGCAGCAGGTGTATGCCAGAGCCACAGGGGGCAGCTTCCAAAGAGGGGCGGACCCAGACACCTGCCTGTTTTGATGCCCTGGACAGCACCTGGGAGGCGGGACAGTCCGTGCCCCCCAGGTGGTCATTGACCTTGGGGGGGAGGGCCATGATCAGGGCCCGGAGGAGGAGGGCCAGGAGCCGCGGGAGCCCGGAGGAAGCATGCTGCACAGCCAGGACCCCTGAGCCATCCCAGCAAGCCTATCACTGGTGTCATCTGAGGCCGGGGAGGCAACAACATGTGAGTGCCATCACTGTCCCCTTATGTGGGGGGGCGCGAGGGGAGGGAGACCAGAGACTGCACACGTGGGCCTTGTTGACCATGGATCAAGCAGCAACCTGTGCATGTGCTGTGCCACCCTTGGGCATGTGGCCCCAGCTGGCTGCCACACAGGGGCCTTGGCCTGTTACCCACACGCATGTATGTATGAAGGCACATGATGTGCTCCTGATCACAGGGTGGGACACAGCAGAATGCCCTGCCTTCACAAGCCCCTTCTACACAGAGGCAGGGGACATCTCCCCACCACCACACACAGACCCACACCACATACAGCACAGGGGCATGGATGCACTCCCAGGCCAGCTCCCACTGCCGGGAATAGCAGGACATCCCGAACATGGCTTCTGTGCTAGCACATCAGCTCTGATGGTGCGGAGACCTGTCATCCTCGCCTTGCAGAGGGGGATTGGGCTTCACCCACTGTGTCCCCAGGGATAACTGACCACTTCTCTTGTTCGTCCACAGCCGCACTAGCTGCCAGTGCAGGGCGCACCACCCTGCCTGGGACATCCTCCCACACCTGGGCACTGCAGGCTGGCCCATGCCCAAGAGGACTACCAGTGGCAGCACTGGGGGATACTGCGAGGCATGCACCGCACCCTCAACCACTGGGTGCACAAAGACCTGCAGCTCCGGCGGGAGAGCTGGTGAGAGCTACTTGCCGAAGGCTGTGCAATCTGCGACCACCTGCAGACCCTAGTGCAGAGATTGCTGCCTCCTGCTGCTCCAGCCCCTGCTGCCTCCCCAGCTATTACTCCTCCTCCCACTCCTGCTCCCCCTTCCGCTTCTTCCTCCCCACCCTTCATACCCTCCCCTCTGCCCCAGCCCCAGAAGCCACAGTGCTGGGAGACAGGTGGGCCGGCAAGACCCTGAACTTCTCCCCCCCTTGTCTCCCCCTTCCAGCTCCCTCCTCCCAGGTTTACCCCTCCCCTCTCCTACTCTTCCTCCTCCCCTCTCCCACCTTCTTTCCCCCGTCTCATCTGAGTTTCATTCCCCCACCCACCCACCTCAGTTTTGTTCAATAAAGAGAGTTTATTTTCTTGAACACGTGTCTTTATTGTACATCAGAAAGGGGGATTAGGGAGGAGTAAGTGGAAGGACGTGAGGGTGGAATGAAGCACAAGCACCCAGTGGGGCAGATCAGGGAGACTGTTAGTCCTCCTCCAGGTGGAAGCTCTTCTGGAGGGCCTCCCGGACAGCGGCGGATATAGGGCAGGGCGAGCAGGGTGGCTGCCCTAGGCCCCATGCTTCAATAGGCCCTGCACCCCAGTTCAAAGCCAGGACCTAATTTCTTTTTATAGTCACTGAATACCATAAGGTATATTAGAGAAATAATGGAAATCATAACAATTTCATTTTGTGTATCTCAGAGCCAACAAGAAATATAAATTAGAAGGTAGCTTTTGGCAGTCTTAATTATTAGTGACAACATATCTTAAATATTGCCAATAACCACTTGCTAAGTATAACCTACAGGGGACTAAGTCCCCAACTAATGGCTTTGTACAAGTGGCATTTATCATAGTCCATAGGCCATCAGAATTGATAAACAAAGGTTCTCATTAATTACTATCAGGTTTTATGATAATAACCAGAGGTATTATTTTCAAAGCTGCATAAATTATCCTATTGAATTAGGCTTGAATGCATCTGTGTGAATGCTTGAACTTACTCTACAGATAGCCCATGTTCTCAGAAGGCTGCCATAAGGACAAGTGTCCAAGAAGGAATATAAGTGGCAGTGAATATGTAATGCAGACCCCCTCAGGTGGGTCAGCAGTAATAGAGCTCAAAACTTTGACCTCTGAATTTTAATGCATGAGCCTCTACTGCCTGAGCTAAAAGGCCTCTCTTAGTCCAATCTATGACACACTCACCAAGCTCTAGTGGGCCAAACCTTCACTAGAGAGGGACAAAGTATCACACTGAGTGCATTTAAATACATTCACAATTTCATCCAATCCATAAAGAAATTGTACACCAATACATATTTAAAACAGAGGAACAAATTTATGTATGTTAAAAATGAGCTTGAAGGAGAGCTAGTTTAAGTCTATCCACCCTTAAGGACAACATGGAGACCGCCTGGGATATAAATCTGCCTTTGTTCTAGAGGTTAATATCAGAGGGTATGTCTACACTACAGCACTAATTCGAACTAACTTAGTTCAAATTAGTTAATTCGAACTAAGCTAATTCGAATTAGCGCATCTAGACTTAAAAACTAGTTTGAATTAGCATTAGTGGACCCTGAACTGAGGTTAAGGATGGCCGGAAGCAATGCCGGCAGGGCATCAGATTAGGACTTAGAGCGTGGAGCTGCTGCCTCAGGCTAGCCGAGGGCTGTGCTTAAAGGGACCCGACCCACACCCCGGACAGACAGTTCTCAGGGGTTCCCCGCTTGCAAAGCAGTCCTGGCTTGGAGTGCCCTGAGTGCCTACACTCGGCACATCACAGCACTCGGCCATCAGCCCGGCTGCACTTGCCGCAGGCTGCCATCCGGAGGGGGGGGTCAATAGAGGGGCTTTGCTTCAGGAGAGTTTCCACCCTGAGGAGCCCACAGAGCCAGCCCAGTCCTCCCCATCGGGGGCTCGTACCCCATTCCTCCCTCACCTCCTTCCACTTACCCCTCCCTAGCCCCCCTTCCTGATGTACAAAATAAAGGACACGTGTTCAAAAATAGAAACTCTCTTTATTGAACAAAACTCGGGGAGACTGGGAAAAGGAGGTGGGAGAGGGGAAGACAGAGGGTGGGAGAGGGGAGG